ACACACCTGAAAGAATCCTGAGTAAGAATGGCTTAAGCTTATTGCATTGCAGTGGGGAACCGCTTGTACTCGAGCATCGCAGGGGCGCGTGTTGTCAGCAAACAGATAGTAACTCTTATCTCAAACTGGTTTAGCAACTGAAGCAGGACCAGAGGCAGTCTGGGGACAGTTCTTGTCATTTGCCTTTTAAAAAAGAAGTGTGGTTTGTTTATTTTTTCATTCAGACAATGCCACAGTCTTCAATGGAGTCTTTCAAAATGTGGAAAGTGTTGCATTATTTTTTGGTAAGTACATGTTCCAGTTGTACTTGGGCACTGAATAGAGATCCCATGGAGTTTCCTTACATATACACTGAAAAGGAACAGGGATCTTTGAGGCTGTAGATTTCCCCAAAGACTAAATACTACATACTGTTGAGTGTCGAACATTGCTCAATGTCCCTGTGTTACTGCCTTGTTTAGTCTCTGTATTCACATCAACATCACCCATGTGTGATCCACCCCAGGCTCACCTCCATTGACCATGCATTTTGTGGCTGTTCTCTTTCCAGACTGCCTGGGTTCTCACTTCACCTGGTTACAGTCCATCTTCACTAACTTCCCTGCCCTGCTCAACTTTGTGAATAAAATGAAGTGTGTTACTGGGCTTTGTCCCAGGGATTTTGAAGACTATGGCTGCTCTTGCCGGTTTGAGATGGAAGGGCTCCCTGTGGATGAAGCTGATGAGTAAGTCTTAGCCTCTTCTGCCCTGACTGGCTGTCAGTGCCCTCATGCTCTGATGACCTGAAGTGTAACACTCATCTAAACAATTTAAGGTCAATTGTAAGAAAAGAGTTTTATTCAGAGTTATTATAAACACTTTCCACCCCCCTTCAGGCTATTCTTCACACACAACCTAAATATCTGATATGACCTACAAAAGAGAATTTCAGCTCTGGTTTATCAGCCCTGTCCTATGTTATTCCTACCTGCTGGTCAGCAGGTAAGCCAACAACCTGTACCAGTCGCCTTACAGCATGGCTTGGAAACAAATGAAGTCAAGGTGGTCATAATCTATAGCACATAACGATCCACTTGCTCCTTTTTTCTCATAGCTCAGAATCTCTTTATCTCACCACACACCAATGGGGAGAAATAATCCCATCCTAGAGATAAAATCAGAATCCCAAACACCTGCACACAATTCCACCAGTGCAGCTCTGGTGGCACAGCTGGTTTAAATTGGTTGCAAAGAGGGGCTATTAATGCAATAAAGTAAGTAAACACCGTACCCACCTCCTTGACATATTTTACCCAGAAGTTCTAAATTCTCTAAACTCTGAACAAGTATGTAAATTCTGGACAGATCTTTGTGAACAAAACCTCGTGAGTTTCTTTGTACTGGGGAATTCTGTCTCACACTTCAATTGGTGCCAAAAACTGGAGGGCCTGTTAAGGTGAGTGGGAGAGCATTAATCCGAGCAGGTTAGTGGGTTTACAATCTTAATCAAAGTGTTGGTATTGGGAGCTGTGTGATACACCAGCCAGCAATGTAAGGTCATAGTGGGCTATAATGAAAATGTTGGCATCTGAAGGGATTTAGGAATAAGGTTAAAGCTGAATGTGACTTCAAGTGGCAGTCAGGAGGTTAAGCAGATCTTGCCCTGAACACCTGTGTTGTAAGACACCAGAGCATCCAGGCACAGAGAACAATGTAGCTCAATGGTTCTTCCCAGTACCATCCACCAGGAACAGAAGCATCCAGACTCCTCTCTGTGAGTTGGAGGGATGCTGCCCCAGACCCCGACTGGGCTAGTGAGGGAAAAAAGTAATCTCAGGCCAGGTCAATCAAATGGTTATTTGCTTATGCCAGCATGAGGTGTGAAAAGGAATTCAAAGAGAATCAGGATCCGCGTCTAAATAGAACAAAAAGGTTTTTCCAACAGTGTCATGCATTAATTCCCTGAGTGAAGACAGCAGTGGCTCAGAACAGGTTAGTGCCTATAGCTAGATGGAAATGAATGCGTCCACTTTCCAGCATGGGATGGCTGGGAAAATGGACATCTAACCCTGCTACTGGAAAAACCCCATGGGGCTTCTTATGAAAGCTTTTTTGAACACTCATGATGACATGCTGAAACGAGAGCTTGAATCAGTTCAATGCATTGATACCCGTAGAGCTGAGCACGTGGGCTTTTGCTTCACTCAGCTTCTTTTCAATGCAGAGCAGCATAAATACAGAAAGAGCTGAACGATTTATCAGCAGGTTTGTCCAAGCACCATTCACAGAGTCTCCTCATGTTTACAGATTGGTTAGCAGCCCTGTGGTGAGGTTTCCTTAGCAGCACAGCAACTCCACTGCAGGTTGCAGTAAATGGAGACTGATTATTGTTTTGCCACTGACACAGATACGCCTTTGGTTCAATTGAGCATCAAACCAGGTGGCTGCTACGTGTCTTTGCCAGACACGGTTTCTACAGTGTCGCAATCTTCTCACTAGCTTTGTTTCTTGGAAACTAGTTTTGCAAACCTCAGATTTTGTCACTGCCATTTCTGTTTCATAAACAGGGGCTGAACATCTCACTGTAGAGCTTTAAGGCATTTGAAAATGTTTGTGTCCATAAGCCCAATCTTTTCCCAGAGTATTTTATTGCTATGTCTAAATCAGAAGCCCAGTCCATGGGCTCCATTAGGAACCTCCATAGTTCATGGCAAAGAGAACTATGCCCACAGGGCAATCCATGTCTTACGACTCTCTGCTCTCAAAGGGAAGGTAAGTAAATTTTCTGATTAACTGTTGCAGAGTTGATGTGATTGTGATGCTTTAAACAAACCAGAACTGCAGGGAGTTTGTGTCAGACTAATTAGGCAGTTAGAGGAGCTTTTAGGTTCTGACACCTCACTAGATCTCAGACAGAGACAAAAGTGGTTCTTGGCACATTTCATCAGCTCTGTATTGAAAACCCTGTTCCTGATGGAGCTAACAGACTTCACCCTCACCTCTGAAACATGGCACAGTAGTGTTTGTGGTGTGGAGGAACCATCAGGGCCTCTCTGCTGAATGCTATTTACCCTCACCTTTGTTCAATACATTCCATCAGCATCCTAAACCAGGTTACAGCAGAAAAAACACCAACAGGCAGCAGAGACCCTGGACTGCAAGAAATTGGGCTTTGAAACTTCATCAGCTGGGATAACACTATTATAGAACAATAGAATAGATAGGGTTACAGTTCATGAGCTCTGATCCGCTGCTGGCAACCTGAGCAAACCTCATCACTGATCCTTCAACAAGTCAAAAGTGTGATCGTGGTTAGGACTTGGACAGCTTCCTTGGCTGTGAGGGATATTGCAATAATTTATTAATATAGTAAGTGATTTAATATTAAATGCTTCCTAAATATAGGAAGCGAGAAAGTGGATGTGTAGCCTAGAAGGGAGCCTGGAAGGGGCAGGAGTTGGCTCCCTGCTCTGATCGGCACAGGAGTGCTTCAGTCCACATTAGGTGCACATGCAGGGCTGTGGGTGATGTGTAATAACACACTCACTGTATCTTTAACAAAAATCCCACATCAGTTTAGCTAAATTTAATTCATCATGATCATGTGGCATCGTGGTTCCTGGCAGCAGATGCTGGGTTTGAGTGTTAATGTTGTCTTTGCATTAGACATGGACAAGACCAACGGCAATTCAGTAACAGCCCCATGTTCCGAGTCTGTTTCTTTGAAATGAGGATATTTCAGCCAAAATTAAACAGCAATCCCCTGCTTTATCTGTGTAACAATTTTATACGGGGTAAATGATGACTGGTGTTTCATTTATAGCTGATGTGAGTGCACACAGATGCTGTTATAATATAGAAGGAGATGACTTCATTCAAAAACAGCTGAAGAGAGGATTGATGAAGAGCTGCTTGTTTTAGTTGACTTTGCATTGCTATTCGCAGCTAAAGTGGTCATGCAGGCATTTGAGGTTTACATGACAGCAAAAGAAAATACTTTGTGGCTTCTTCCTATGGCTGCATTTTAATTCTGCTTGTTGCATAGCAGAGAAAGTACAAGAATCAGAGGATAACACTGCACATATTTATATATTCTCAAAGAGACACAGGGATTCACAAGGCATTGCAGAGACATTAACCCTCGGTGAGTACCAGGTTCTGTGTAGTTCTCCAAATGTGCAGTGAGAAAGGTTGTGGCAGGACTGGACCCAAGACCTCTCCACCCGAGCCATGAGGTGGTGTTTGGGAGTGAATGCTGTGAGTGTGTATTTGCACACAGACAGTGGGTTTCTCATTTAAACTGCCTGTGGAGTCCTTGTAAGAACTCAGGTACCGCAGCAGGACACAGATATAAGTGTTGCCTCCCACAGCCTGCAGACCTGTTCCACCACTGAGTTTTGCATCCAGCTGTACATATCCCACTAGACTGACTTAGGGAAAAGTAATACTCATCCTTTCTTGTGTCTAGGGACCACACTGAGGACCCCTTTTTCTTCTTTGGCATCTTTGGCATTCTTGAGTGAGAGCAACATGAACACATTGCAGTCTGAGCTTGAACTGAAACTAAATTCTGTGGACTGTGTTATTTCATTCTTAAAGATGCTGTTTCCAGCACCGCAAATGCTATGAGGAAGCAATGGAGATGGAGTGCATGTGGGACCCATCAAAGATTTCTACAGATGTCAGCTGCTCTACTGAAAACCTGACCTGTGGTAAGATTAACCTATTACAGGAGCTTAATACTGGAGCCTCACCATGACCAAGAAGTTTGTTCTGCTTTATCTACCCAAAGTCTTACATAAATTTAGCAGAAACCACCTCCTCATGTGGATTTTTAAGGGATTAAGTGTTCTGCTCAGGAGTGAATGGAAAGGGGAATACACAGAGGTATCGAAGCCCAACTAGGAAGGAAAATCAAAGTCAAATAGGTAGAAACTTGACGGGGCTCCTCTAACAGGCAGCTTCTTGCTGAGGTTTCCCTGACCTTGCAGGACCACTGGCATTGCTTGAGATATCTCCACACACCACAAATGCAGCGGATGCTGGACAAAGACCTCACAAACAGTTCCCTTCTGAAGCCTGAAGGCCTGAGTTTTGTATACATTGGGGGATCAATGTATGTATTCACAGGGTTATATACACTCCTCAGCTACAACAATATTACCAATGATGGCAGAGACAATGGCATTCTAACAGGAATTACTTCATGCAATATGGGTATAGTCCTGGCAAGTGTGGAGTGGGGCTCTTTAATGCCTAATAATTTAAATATAACCTTTCAGGAAGTATTAGCTCTCAGAAAAGATGATATGCTAGATATGATTTGGGGATACCAGCAAAGAGGAGCAGAATCCCCAAACCAATACCCTTACAGCTTGTTTAAGCAACAACCTGATTCAATTTCCTTTTCTTGTTTCAAATTGAAACCATTTTTGCTATTTAGGCCAATCTATAATGGTTGAAGTGAATTAAAAGAATAGTACTTGTCAAAAACATGAAACATAAGGGTGACAGCTATGAAAGGTCGATGTTTTTTGAAACTCCAAAAGGTAGAAGTTTTTGAAGTGGGAAGACAGTATTTCCTAGGAAACTGTTTCATGTCCTTTAGAAGAAGCAAATAACATTTTACATGAAAAGCTTGGCATCTGGACTTTGAATTCTTGGAGATAGGATGAATATCTTAATGAAGTCTGTGAAATGTCAAACCTGGTATCGCCTGGATTAAGTTTTCTGTGGGAAAACTAGAGGTAGTAAAGCAGTGCTCTGTAGTCCCTAATACTCTATAGAAGGAACCAGCAGAGGCAAGAAGTCTGTTGCTAGCCCTGTCAGGCTACATTGGTGTTTCCGGACCAGTATTGGACTATGAAACTTGACTGTGTTTAATGTGAAGAATCACAGTATAAATAGGTTTGCACTAATGAATATGGACACAAACCTTACAGTGAGAAAAAAGCAGGTGATGGAAAAGGTTTTCAGTAGTATCTTGTTTGAATTCTTGTTTCATTTCCAGAGTCTGGGGATTCCTGTGAACAGTTCCTTTGCAACTGTGACAAAGACGCCATTGAATGCTTTGAGAAGGCACATGTTAACTCTTCCTTGAATGGGTTGGATATTTCCTTCTGTCCACCTCCAGTTACAGGTAATAATAAGGACCTGATTGACTGCCTCCTCCTGCTGGTTTTTCCACTGGCATCACATTTCACCCAAGAATGAAGCAGTAGCTGAGCACTTCCTTGCAATGAATCTGGTACCCTGACCTGTTCTCCATTTCATGCGTCCTTTCCATTTACTGCTATTCAAGTGAATACCAAAAGAGAAGAAGGTAGGCTAATTGTTGTCCTGGAGCCCATCCAGGAGGGGTTACCGACCTGCTGAGGAGGCTGGAGAACAGGATGAAAGAGGAAGAGGCTCAGGGGAGATCTTTTGTTGTCCTCAATACCTAGTGTGGTGTGGAGAGAAGATGGAGCCAGACTCTTACTGGAGGTGCACAGGGGTAGGACAAGAGGCAAGAGACACCACTGCAACAGGGAAATTCCAAGTAGATATCAAGAAAAGTTTTATTTCAGGAAGCTCCTGTGTCCCAACCCTGGCAGTGTTCAAGGCCAGGTTGGACAGGGCTTGGAGCAACCTGGTCTAGTTGAAGGTGCCCCTGCCCATGGCAGGTGGGTTGAAACTAGATGAGCTTTAAGATCCCTTCCAACCCAAACCATTCCATGATTATTATTCTATGAATTTGCCAACCTGATAGTTGGGATGATTAGTGAGCCCCTGAAGTTACTAGGAGGAATGCCAAACTGCCAAAATATTGCTAGCCCAAATAGTCTCTCAAACCGTGTAAAAACTAGCTGGAAAAGCACAAATAGACCTACCCTGCTCTGTCACTTGGTTTCCATCTTGGAAAGCAAAATCTTCTCTAAAGATGAAGGGGATATTCATCTCCATTGCATACATGGATCTGTGCTCTGTAGCTGAAATTACAGCCTTCTACGACTGAATACTTGTCCTGTGGGAACAGGGCTGACTAAAAACTTAATTCATATGTATTGCAATCGGAGCATAGCAGGGGGAGGACCTTTGAACTCCCAAACTGAGACAGAGTGAAAAAGCAATGCTAGTTTTTCTAAGCCTTTGGCTCGTATTCACACACCCCAGTGCTAAGAACAGATACACACATCTATATTGGGCTCTGGATGCGTGCAGCCCCTTGTGAACAGGTCAAAGGAGAAGAAAATGCCACAGGAAAGTTTGCATCAAAGGCAGAAAACAGTTTTGTGTAAGGCAGTAATCTTTCACTGGGATCAGATGGTTCCAATATACAGTATGGCAGTTCCAACACATTACACACAAAGGGGAAATTGTTAGTGCTAACAGGAAAATCATGCTGGTTCTAGCTCTGCTGATAAAGATCCAATTTTAGCTCACTGGATAATTCTGCTAATTTTAGGATTCTGATTATATTTCTTAATGGAAAAAAAACCCTTTCAATGAAACATCTTTATTTAGTGTTCACTCCTGTTATTATCTTTCTGTGTAGTTCTGGCCAGTTCAGGCTTTTAAAAGAAAAATAATATCCCTGTCTGACAAATTTCTAGGAAAAGGATTTTGGCAGATTCATTATTACAGAGAAAAAATGGAATGAAATGGGCATGTATTAGACTAAATCATTGCTAATAGGAATAAACTCCATGAACTCCCAATTTGCCCTATTTGGATTAAACAGTGACAAATGTCCTTCTCACACTTTAGTTGATGAGAGAACTTTCTCTTTTTCAGAAACAACCAGCAAGAGAGAGCTGACAACACTTCACACGGGGGGTACGTGCTCATTTCTGTTAGTTATTGACTGGAGTGTGTTAAACTGAGGCCAATTTATAGTCAGAAAAATAACCTGGTTATTTTAGAAGCCACGGATTCCTCTCTGAGAAGCAGAGATGTCAAAATATGAAAGGAAGAGAAAAAAGCCTAATAAGCCAAAGCACCATTTTTGTGACAAGTGTTTATTCAGGTGCACAGGAAAATTCACCCAAATGACTCCTTTTTCTGAGAAGGAATTCAGAAGAGAACCCTGAGTCTCATATAGAAATGACATAAGAAATAACACACTAAAAGCAACTTAAGAATATTTTCAGGTGGATCCTTTTTTATTTTCATACATATTTAGGGCTCTGCTTCAAAAAGGTTCCTAGCCAAGTGCCTGGATTTGAATATTTAAGCTTTCTGTTTAAATGTTTAATTCTTATCTTCACTACTGGTCACTTACACAAGTACCTGCCAAAACGGGAATGTAAAGAATACTGAGCACCAGGCAATTTCTCTTGTTTAGGTTGAAACTCTTTGTGATAGAGACTGAGGGATTCTATTATGATTATTATTATAGTGTATGCTACTGAGTAGAATTTAGTATCAGCAGTGAATAAATAGTAAGGCAGGAATACTGCTACCGTAATTATCAATAATTAGGTTTGTATTTGCTATGTTTAGATAATATATAAAAATACGATAATACACATTATTTATATACAAAATAACCATACAAAAAGCACAATAATAATGATATTTATAAATAAGCTCCATTCTGATCATGTTATGCCAAGATTCAGTCTAATGAGCATCCTAAGTCATGACTCTCTGGAGTAAGAATACTTGTATTTTTGCAGACTTACTTCATCATGGGACTGAGGAAATACAAGCTGCAACTGCATCCATGGAAGAAGGTTTGCAACTTGCAGTGCAGGAAGCACTGTTTTCAGCTCTAAAAGCTGAAAGAGTATAACTCAAGAATGAGCTGTTTGCTTTCTTTCTGCCATTCTAGAAGGATTGATATAGAAGTAGATATAATGTTTTGGTGATCGACTTGAAGGCTGAATGCACACAGTTTTCCACTTTGTGCATGCAATGTGTCTAACCACTGTTTACAGTAAGTTTCCCAAGGGCTGTGAATAAGAACTCTGCAACAAAACCTGTTTTCATCAAAACAGACTTTTTTTCCCTGGGAACACAGGTAGCAGCCCGTGAGCCACTGGCAGAGACGTGCTATGGGGGTGCCAGCCACTGGTCCCACAGCCAGTTGCATACGTGTCTTTAAAGAGGCATTTGATTATAGAAGATCAAAGAGTAGCATGGTTTGTTGCAAATGAACCAGCAGTTTAGTGGTTTATTTACTTGCAGAGATTCGGGCTGAAGTCGCTCTCACTGGTACCTCCTGAGTGAGTTCCTAAACTATGAGACCAAGTGGTTCTTCTGACAATCTTCATTTTTTATTGCTACAATCAACAGTTACCTTATTCAGGAATAGATGCTTGTAAAATCTCATTGCTGCAGCAAGAGAGAACTATTCTCTGCCTATCTGCGTTGTGTGCACTATGTCACGAGAGGCCATGGGCAGAAATCATCCAAAGTCCTGGGTTGTTCTGGGGGTGCATCTAGGAAGTGAGGTTCAAGCCACACAGCAGTGAAATACAGGAGGAGACAAGTCTTGGGCAATCCATAGTCTAATTTAGTTGATGCACTCTTGTAATCATGAGCAAAACCACACTATTGTGTACAGGGACCTTGTATCTGCCAAGTACCCAAGCACTGTGCAGCGGATGGGTGCGTCCAAGCAACTACTCATAGAACCAGGTAGGTTAGAAAAGACCTTAAAAATCATCAAGTCCAACCATTACCCCAGCACTGCCAAGATCACCACTAAACCATGTCACTGAGGGCCTCATCTACATGGCTTTTGAACACTTGGACATTTGAACACTCAACTCAGAGAAACTCTACAGTTCTTTCTTGGGAGTGGGGAGAGGTGGAAAGTTGCACTTTTGAGGAACTTAACTTATGAATCCAGTTTCAAGCTGTAGTGTGCTCTTCTGTGTTTCTCAGTGAGCCAAATCAGGAATAATGAAAAAACATATGGAATTTTTTCTTCTTCTTTTTTAATTTTTACCCTTCCTTTTCCATCCTTTTTGTTTTGTTGGTTTTTTTTTTTTTTTTTAAATATTGCTTCAGACTTTAACAGGTTTTCCTGTTTATTTTAAAAGAAGTGCCACATACACAAGGGCGCTTTATGCTGAGTGTAAGTGCTGGCTTTTTCTTCATGCCTCTCCTGTATCATGGTGGGGTTTTTACTGGGTATTTCTTGTTCTCACCTAAAAACAGCTCCAATATTGGCTCATGTTTTTCTAGCTGCTGCTGGGAAGCTTGGTAATAAAAACCTGAGAACTCCTAAAGGAGTGAGTGCACCTGTATTTGCACATCTGTAGCAATCTTTTACTTCCTGAAACAATGATTACTCACACTCTCTAAGGAGACGTCGTTCATCATAAGGCTCAAAATAGTGCCAGGGGATAAAAACATGCATTAGGAGTTTTAGAAAGCTGGAAATGTACCAGATAACATAACTAATCAGACTTCAAAAGAAACATTTGGAGAACTACTTCCAATTTAACTAGTTGTTTCTCCATTTAAGCCCAAAGGAGCTTCACCATCAAGAGCTGTGGAAACTGTGTTAAACCAAAGCTAAGTACTACTCAGGAACTCATTCAATGGCAAAGACGTTCTTCTTCACATCACAAAATCATAACACACAAAAAGATGCAGAGATTAATTCTTTGATAATTTGATATCTATGTTTGTAATTTATCAAAAGGTAGCTGACAAATGAAAGCAATTTTATCATGTAAAAAGGTAAATTAGAGGTTAGGGAAGTATTTTGCCTTGTAACTGCCCATCATACATGATTTTCAATGCAGGCAAACACAAGGTGTTTATGAGAAATGCGGCATCCTTCTGTGTGCACAGTGAGATTTTAGACCTAATCCTCTTTAGTACATTTGTCTGTCAAATGGATTTAATATTGAATTTGCCACTTCAGTCACATTTATGCTGTAAAGCACATTATTTGAATGCAGCAATAAGATTATTTTATCAGTATCACTTTGTCTACAACAATCAATTCACTGCTGATACAAACAGGCAGATCCATGAAATGCCTGGGTCTTCCTGCTTTGCTGAAGAAGCTCTTCTCAGCAGCTGGACTTTTCATAAGAGTTTGTGCTGGCAACTTGTTTTCTGAGTTTACATTTTCCTTCTTCAACAGTGAACTCCTTTGAGCCCAGTGAGATGGTGATGGGGACTTCCAGAGCCAGAGGTAAGAGTCTGATTATAGTTGTTGACAAAGCAGGCACTCTTGGCTGCAGGTGAAATTGGATTTTGGTTTATGAAGCTCTGTACTGTCACAGTTAAAAATCTGCAGCAGAGGATTTCTGGATAATACTCTGGTTAACACATCCTTCAGTTCTTTGCTGAAGGATGACTTGCACATCCTTCAGCAAACCGCTTTTCCTAATCACCCTCTTTATAAAACAAGGCTAATAGTGACGTTTGGTTAAGCTTTATGATGTTTCAGTAAAAGTCAGCCCAAAAATACACTGCAAAAATACAGCAGGTAGGTCACTACCATGATGCCTCTGGTTTTTGTGCAGTTTCCACAAGGGACCACAGAGTTACAGCTCCTGCTCCCCCGGTCCTCTTGATAAAAGGTCAGTGACTCTCAGCTTTCCTCCTTCTTCGGCTGACACAGCAATACTTCATCTAAAAGCATCACAGTTAACAATCCACACACAGTGAAGACAGGGCTGCCAGAGAATCACATTTAGATCAGGGGCAGATAGCAGATACACAAACTAGACTGTGAAGTATTATCCTTTTGCTGCCTCCAGCCATTCATTTGCATTCTTCATTACTTGTAAAAACCTCTTCACACAAGGTTTTCTGATTTAATGGTTGATCTTTAAATTACATTTGTAGCATCTGCTGCCAGAAGGGTTCATTTTGATTTTTCCTTCCCCTTTATAATATGGAATTTCACAGAATTCTTTCCCAGTCTAAACTCTGTTTCAGCTTTTGCACTGTTAGCACTTTGAGCACAGCCACAGCAGTAGCTGCAGCTGCAAGTGGAGCACCTTGGTAGACTTGGAAGTTTTCATTGGCCCCTTTTTTGTAGAAAGGAACATTCAGGTACACTGAAACACACTAGAGAAATATCAAGAAGCACTGAATATAGGTGAGTAAAAAGTAGTCATTTTTTGGCTCTGATTACACCGTCTGAGCAGTATCCTTATCTCCCACTCCAATGCAGACATTTGGCATTGCTGTGCTAAGCACTGGCCAAAATCACTAACTATTCTCTGTCAAAAACCTGTGTTGCTTGCAGATCTGCATGGCTCCTGGAAGATTATTTGTACTATCTATTCTTAGCTAAGTGCATTCCCAAACTCCAGTTGTATTTTCTACATCTGGCACGAATTGCTTTCATTTCAACACATCACCATCAAAGTGGCATAAAATGTGTACCTTGCCGAGCTATTAAAACTAGCGTGTTGCTATTGATCCTTTTCTACAACCTTTCATGGGCTTCGTTGTGTTCTTAGCAGGATTTTAATTATTTTAATCTATTAATTAATTTAATCTATTAATTATCACATGACAGGTTATTTTCAACAGATACGAAAATCAGAACATCAGAGGGACAAATTTAACGCATTTGAGTTTAATCCAACTAATAAGTTGACCTTTGGAATTCAAAAGGAAAGACTTTAAACATGTGGAAACACATAGAATCATAGAATAGTTAGGGTTGGAAAGGACCTTAAGATCATCTAGTTCCGACCCCCCTGCCATGAGCAGGGACACCACACACTAAACTATGTCACCCAAGGCTCTGTCCAGTCTGGCCTTGAACACCTCCAGGGTTGGAGCATTCACAGCTTCCTTGGGCAACCTATTCCAGTGCCTCAGCACCTCACTGTGAAGAACTTCTTCCTTAGATCTAACCTAAAGTTCCCCTGTTTAAGTTTAAAGCCATTACCCCTTGTCCTACCATGTTTACTAGCATTCTCCAAATATTTTGTTTGTGAAATGACACATTCTGCATACTGACATTCAGGTAAAACGAAACCATTTGATTTCCTTTTGATAACAACGTTTTCACATACAAGTTAGCTTATACAGAAGAGGTTAAAAAAAGAAAGGAAAAAGATGTTAAGCAGTTCCCAAATGAAACCAAACATTCCTGTTCAACAATAAAGCTTCAGATAATCTAAAAAGAAATGCAATTTTTAGGATAAAGAATCTCCTTAAAAATATCTTTCTATTTAACCTCAACTTATTTTGCCCTTGGCATATCCTTGTGGTTAACCACAGAGCCATCCTTCAGTTGTCCAGCGCTGTATCAGGCAATATCTCTTTTTGTTACCCTCACGTGAACTAACACCCTTTTTTAAGCGGTTTACTCTGAAAATCACTTCTCATGACATCTGCCCTGCACTTCATCTCTCAGCAGGGCTGGCTAACCACAAACCCCTATTATTTGCAGCAACATATAAGGTTTTAAAAGCTAAACAGCAGTTAAATTGGGCGTATTTAGCCCGAGTCTTATCTTTTGAAAGGCAAGGGATGTGAAGTAATTACCAGTGTGGATACTTTTTGCTTTTCCAATTTTCATCCTGAATATTTCTTCTCTATGACCATCGCCTCACACCAGTTCTGCCTGAGGATATTACTCTGACCAACTATCTAAAATGAAAATCTTGCTGTTTATTTTCCATGTTGTCTTCTGCTATCCTCTTTTTGCTTATTCAGAGGAGGATGGATTTATGGAAGCTGTAGTGTCAGTGGAAGAGATAACCACAACCCCAGCCTCATTCTCAGGAGATATTAACTCACTGCAAGTCAAAATTGCCTCCACGGAGAAGATGCCTGCAAGCACATCTGCAAGAACAAAAGAAAAAGGCAAGTAAAAATGATTAAACCTATTCTAATTTACAACACTCCCTATTCCTTTTCACAGGTATCTGAAGATTCAGCATTTCTCACACATATGTAGAATTTGTTCTATTTTCTCCCTAAATCTGGATAGGTTACATATAATACAGAGTGCACAACACTGACTGCACTGGAAAGGACAGTTCATTGTCAAACACTGACCAAGAAAGCTTACCTAACCATTAATGAACACTCTTCCAACTACGAATTAAACAAGTGCTAGGAGACTGACAATTAATTATGGTTCAGAATATACACTTTTGGAACCATTACTGAAAGATGTGTTGCTGCTGCTTTTGCAAGTCTAACCTATGCATATATATGCCACCTCCAGAGACAAGCCCTGCAAGGGGCAGCCAAAGCACAACTTCTTCTGGAACAGCTCTGGAGCTGGTACTGTCTGACTGGGGAGCCAATGAACCTGCAGGAAGAGGTAAATGAAGTTGGGTTGTTTTTCCAGTTATAAGAAATGAAATATTCAGCTATGCCTACGTTTAAAGGTAGGTGTATATTACATGTAAAGATTGTAGCTATTCTAAACCTGTTAGACGTGGACCTATGTATTGGTATTTAAAAGAACAACAGGAGATGCATTCGCCTCCAAAACCTTCAACAGTTTAACCTCTTCCACCAACGTGCTATCATTAACACAAAAACTACTTTTAATTAGGTTATAAGTGCATTTTTCATACAGTACCAGATCTAAACCGAATGTTTCCTCTTGGTTTTGTTTTTAGGCAGTAATTGAGTCTTTGAGTTATTTTATTTTACAAGCAGCAGAAGCAATAAAAGGAACTTCCCCTGCTCCTCACTCTGAGGAGTTTCTTCCAGCACAACATAATCATTGCCCAGCTATGACTGTGCACATACAAGAGGTTAGGACCCTATTTTAGCCAAGACAGAAGCTACTGAATAGGTTTGGTCAGCGATGATTGAATATTCCAGAAGAAAAATGTAACTATGAAGGATTACAAAGCACTCTTACTGCAATCCAATTTGACTTGTAATTTATATCTTTATAGGGACTATATTTCCCCTGCTGTCCTACTGAGCAGCATTCTGAGAGTCATAGTTCATGGAATGGAGCAATCACTTAGAAATAGTAAAAAATTGTCTTTGAAAGTTTCTGATAGTTCTAAGAATAATTCTATTATCACACAAGAGCCCCCAAACAGTGAAAACATGGTGTGTCTGTCAAGTAACTTTTTCTGCTTTACAGTATGTGAGCGATTAACCTTTCTGCAAGAGAGAGGAAATGGAAGAGTGAAGAGGGAGCTGCCCCAGCTGGGGGAGATGCTCTTCTGTCTAACTGAGCGCTGCCCAGAGGAATTCGAGTCTTACGGTTGCTACTGTGGCCAGGAAGGAAGAGGTTATCCTGCTGATGCACTGGACAGGTGGGGGCTCTTCTATAATCTGCCGTTACCTGTGGGTATTAATGGGTGCCTATGGACCAACAAAGATCAGTCTTGCTTTTGTTGGGCCTTGTATAGCTACTTATCAGTAGTCAGGCCACATTTTTTTTGGGGAAAAGAAAAAGCCACTTAAATACATAAAACATTAAATTCTCTGATGTCACTAAGACATTCTATTATTGCACCAAGGTTTTGAAGAGACTTACTAAGTCAAAATAAGAAAGGAGAATGATGGGAAGTGAGTAAAGCAGAAGGAAGAGTATATCAAAAGAGATGAAGATAAGGGTTGCCATTACCTCTTGGCTAAGATGTAGTTTGGAAAGTGATTTATGAAGAGAAGAGCTATACACCCGTGCCACACTGTCCTTAAGAAGAGAGAAGAGCTTGAGCAAAGTGCTGCTTGAGCGGTAGCCAAGAGATGATATGAAACCTGAAATTTCTCAGTTTTAAGAGACATTGAAAATAAAGAGATAAAACAATTGTGAGTACTCCATGCTGTAGGAAGAGAAGTATTTTTCACTTATATCTATTGTGTATTTCAGGTGCTGCTTCTCTCATCACTGTTGTATAGAACAAGTTAAGAAACTTGGATGTCATGCAGAAAGAAGTTCAAGATCTGAAGTTGTGTGTTTTGATCATCAGCCAGACTGTAAGTTTGTGTAGAGGAAATTTTGAAGTCTTGATCACAGTGTATCGAAGCATTACAGACCAAATGCCACCATGTGAGCTGCTACAGCCGAGTATGGAGACACAAAATTCTGGCTTACAAAATGTTTGCAATGTTTACTATAAACCTGAGCTTTTTTCCTAGCTGAGATAAAGGTTATTGCACTGCTGTGTACGATGTGACCAGGTCAGGCTGTGAAAATTACATTCAGACATTTGTTGATTGGAGAGAGAAGTCAGCTGTTGGTGTCTTTACGTTGCCAATTCAACTAAAGCCAGTTGTACCTTCAGCTGCCCAGCACCTTAGTGTCAGGCTTATATTTAGATGATAAAAGGTGAATTTGGAAACTAAAATTCAAGGCGAATTGGAAAAATTTCTTTTCAAAAGCTCATCTCCCCATGGCAAATTACACATTGATTGATTTTAACTTCTTTCGGATGCTAATTCTGAACCTTCTTTTTCAGGTGTTGGTTGGAGCATCTGTGAGAAACTACTATGTGCTTGTGATAAGACAGCAGCCGAGTGCATGGCTTCTGCCTTCTTCAATGAAAGCCTGAAGTTTCCTCACAGGCAAGAGTGCCAAGAGGAGAAAATCTCATGTCAAAGTGACCCTTATGAAAGGCCTTCAACAGGCACGGGGCATTCCAGCTCTGAGGAGAGCAGCGAGGAAGAAGGTCCACTGGGGAGTGTATTAAGAAGAGCAAAGAGAGATACACACCGTCCCGTTGGAAACTCCATAACTGTGCAACATGAAGGCAGATAACCAACCTCCACCACACGCTTGAGGAACGGCATGGAGACCTTCACAGTCAGTCACTGCATATCGTGCTCTTTCTTATCACTCCACTGGCTGCATTACACTTTTCAGCACACAAATGACATAATCATAGACTAGATATTAGATGTTAGACTGTATAACTCCTTACCATACTGAGGTCAGCATTATGGACCATCTATTTAGGTCAGATGTTACCGTAAATAATTATTTCACACTATTCTGTGTAATTTCATTTGACTTCTATGTAAAAACTGTTCTGATCAAAGACTGATTTTGCTGTTTAGTTGGTTCAGACTGGATCTTGCCAATGGTGGCTTAATTTCAATTAAACCAATCTGCAACTATTCCAACTCCTTTTGTAGATGTTCTTCCTTTACTGAGCTCAGAAAGAAAAGCCAAGGTGATTACATGAGAATGAGTTCCTTCTTCCCTTCTGATCTAACGGCAATTTCCAACCTGCAGAGTTTCTGCTGGCCAATCAGACCGTGACAGTAGAAGGAACATTTCTTGCCCCAAACTATGTACTACACTCAGTTATCTCCAGTTTTGAGAGATTTCAGGATGCTAAAGAGATTGAATCTAACAAATCTGCTTCCTGGGATCTACTAAAACTAATGCATTCTGAGGTATGACATGTAAAGCTGAAATAATGCTTTCTGCTTTTTAATGAACCCAAGTTTGTTTGCTTTTGTTTCCAAATTCACTACTCCTAAGATTCACCAGTGATCAGACAACAGCAGGATAAAAAGATATGTACATTATTTCACTTGATAAGGTGCTAATCTACACTATGCTTTGATCATATAATACTGTCACAAGAAACAAAATTACTAGAACTTGGCTACATTACTTTGTGTCGTGGTTCAAGCCCAGCCGGCAACTCGGAACCACGCAGCCGCTTGCCCAGTCCCCCTCCTGCCTCCTTCTTCCTCTCCCCACTCCCGGAGGGATGGGCAGGAGAATCAGAGGAATGTAACTCCCACGGGTTGAGATAACAGCTCTCCAGTAACTAAGGTATAATACAAACCACTACTGCTACCAATAATAATGATAAGGGGAA